GGAGTCCCGATAGGATGCCACCTGCTGATATGTAGACATCTACGCTGCATCAAATTTGCACGCCCCCTACTACCACGATATTCGGTACTATGGGAAGTTTCCATCATCCTCAATTTTCTCGAATCATGGCCAGACAATGCATTTCTATCTCTGAAACAGCTGTCAGCAAAGCTGGTTATACTCCTCTGCCTCATATCCTGCAAGAGGGTCTCCGATGTCAGAGCCCTGGACATTAACGCACGTTCCCACACCCCGGAAGGGGTCACTTTTGATATATCTCGAAGAACAAAGACGTCATCAAAGAAAGTGTCATACCCAGCGTTTCCTGACAGGCCGCTCTTATGCCCGGTCAAATGCTTACAAACGTATCCGAGCGCCGGCTCTGCTCTCAGCCTCCCTCCCCACTGACTCGCATGCAGGGAGGGAGGCAGGAGAGGACCGGCGGAGCTATTGCCGGCAGCTAAATAGGGTCCTGGAATGAGGCACCTGTGACAGGGAGGGGTGCAAAACCAAGGAGCTGGCCCCCCTATTATTTTTTGCCTAGGTGAGGTGTTTTTAAATAAAACTATTACAATCTCTAAGATTTTGAAAGCATTGTTTAGTGAATAAGCGAGTGCGCTGGATTCTGTATTTTTCTATATATTTTGGCCCCAGCAGCACCCTGTAATGTATGCATGTTCAGGTGAGTGCAGCCCTCTTGGTTTTGTTTGTATATTTGGGAGTCCAGGCCAGCTCCTTGGTTTTGCACCCCTCCCTGTCACAGGTGCCTCATTCCAGGACCCTATTTAGCCTTGACTTGCAAAGAGTCCCAGTAAGGAAGTATTTCCCAAGTAAGTGGATTAATCTCATGAGGGCAAGCATTAGGCTGCTAGTGTAGGACCTGCCAAGAATGGGGTACATTGACGTTGTGGCAGGCTTATGCAATATATGATCATATAATGTAACTAAACCCCCATTATTTTTTTGCCTAGGTGAGGTGTTTTTAAATAAAACTATTACAATCTCTAAGATTTTGAAAGCATTGTTTAGTGAATAAGCGAGTGCGCTGGATTCTGTATTTTTTATATAATTTTGGCCCCAGCAGCACCCTGTAATGTATGCATGTTCAGGTGAGTGCAGCCCTCTTGGTTTTGTTTGTATATTTGGGAGTCCAGGCCAGCTCCTTGGTTTTGCACCCCTCCCTGTCACAGGTGCCTCATTCCAGGACCCTATTTAGCCTTGACTTGCAGAGAGTCCCAGTAAGGAAGTATTTCCCAAGTAAGTGGATTAATCTCATAAGGGCAAGCATTAGGCTGCTAGAATAGGACCTGCCAAGAATGGGGTACATTGACGTTGTGGCAGGCTTATGCAATATATGATCATATAATGTAACTAAACCCCCATTATTTTTTGCCTAGGTGAGGTGTTTTTAAATAAAACTATTACAATCTCTAAGATTTTGAAAGCATTGTTTAGTGAATAAGCGAGTGCGCTGGATTCTGTATTTTTCTATATATTTTGGCCCCAGCAGCACCCTGTAATGTATGCATGTTCAGGTGAGTGCAGCCCTCTTGGTTTTGTATATATATATATATATATATATATATATATATATATTTATTTATGTTTTCATTTATCTATTTAGTTCGCTCCCAGATCGAATATATGTTCCCCGTTTCCCTGTTTGTGCCAATGATATTGCTAGGTGGGAGGGTTAACCTGTGTGTGCTAAGATGATGCTCCGTTGCAAGTGTACTCTCAGTTCAAGTGTGTGCCACCGCTATCATTTCTTGTACCATGGCATCACAGGAAGGAGGGGCTTGATTGTGTATGTCTGGTATTTAATAGAGTATTAAAATTTTGATCTCCAATATTAAACTCAATTTGAAGGACAGATTATATCTATGGTGGTAGGTAATCTGCCAAAGTGGCAGATCTCCATCTAGGATATAGATCCCTCAATTATTCCCCTCTGATACATTGTGGCATGATTTCTTTTCTATTTGAGTGTGCTTCCTCCAGTGAACTCTAACTAATCCCTAAATTGTTATATTGGGTATAGGATATATTCACTAAATGGTGAGACAAGTCCCCACATACTTACTCGTAATCTATCATCCAAATTTTGGTTAATATACTATGCATAAGAGAGACAAGTATATGGATATCATGTTAGAAGTTTAACATTATGTAGTGCTAGTGAGTGCATCTGGAACACAAAAGGATATGTATTTAACAAATTGTCCCCTGTGTTATATCTATAACTATAATGACGCATTAGTGTCTCACACATATGCATATTGCCGAGGAAAAATAATTGTAGCGGTTACCCCGATGAGTAGAGGGGTTTCCACCACCAGAGGGCGTCCTTCTCCTGAGTGTGAGGGGTATTACGGCATTCCAGGTAGTCCTCCAAGTAGAGAAGCTATTACAAGAGCTAGTAGTGATAGCTTTATAGCAGTTTCCCCCAGTAAGAGACAAGACTCTAGATTGAGGGTGAAGTAAGTCTGTTTTAATGGTAGCCAGACTGGCCTTTTATGCAAGTCCCTAGCCAAGGGATACACCCAGGTGGACCTTGGTAGGGACAGTAGTACAAAATTATCAGTCAATCATAACAGTGACACTCCCATACAGGGCATACAATCCCTCACCTCTACCTAGGAGATAATTGAGTCAACTGCTGTCTTTAACTCAATTATCTCCAGGAGAAAAATATCAGAATTTTAATACAATTCAAAAATACCCCCAAAACAAATAATATCCCGACAAAAAGCATATCCGCTGATAGCCCCGATCTGGGGGAACAACATAAATTAAAAAATCACCCAGATCGGTTTAGGGGTTCAGGATTTGCATTAAGGTCTTTTTTCTGACCGACCGCACACAAGGCTCCTGCCCAAAATAGTTCCATAGAATCAGCTCATTTGGCCGGTCTCCTTCCAGGGTATTAAACTAAAGTTTATAGGAGAATTAACTGTTCGTGCATCTGTTCTCCTAGTCTTAGTGGTTCGGGAGGTATTATTACCAAATGTAGTCCATTTCGTACATATAGTGCCAAACATCCATGATCATGGAGTCTTAGCGGTGTTCGTGCCATTGAGTGTCCGATTATAGTTCCATGCACTCAACGACAAAATGCCACTGGCCGCATTCGTATCCCAAGATGGCCGCCGTTGCGTGTTCGTGCATACGGACGCCGACCACCCAGTCGATCACTTAGAATGTTTGTGGTTTTAGAGGTGTTAAGAGGGTCAATGAGGTTAAAATGTGCCACATTTGGGTGGTCGGTTGTTCGGTAGTTTTTTCGGTATTCAAACGGCAAATGGTAAAATAAGGCAGACTGTATTAAACTCGAACGGGTAGGCAAACAAAACGTATAAACTTTAACATTCAGGGACAGAGGGTCTGTCACAATAATGTTTTGAGATCTTGATAGATATACTTTTATGCGCTTATGATGAGCCTCTATGTGAGTTCATATATTGAGGACAAATGTCTATAAGATCCATGATTGTAATCTGTCTGTATTCACCCACTGAATACTGGACATATGAAGATACAAAGTATTGAGAAGTATTGGAGTATTCAAAGCAAAGAAAGTATATATAGCTATAACTTAATTACATTATGTACAACGCAAAAGGCTAGTAATTTACAAAGTCCATATATGGTTAGTCCGAGATGAAGGAAGTGTATCAAAATCCTTCCTTCAGACCCAAGGGTGACAACGTCTTTAACTTATAAATCCAAAATCTCTCCCTTTGCAATAGCTTCTTATCTAGATCACCCTTCCTGGGGCCAAGTGTTACCTTTTCGATGCCACAGAACCTAAGGCCATCAGATGAGCCTTTGTGGTGTAGTTTAAGGTGTTTGGAGATGGGTGTATCAATTAATCTTATGGGTTAATTTAGTTGACGTGTTCACAAATTCAAAATTTAAAGGCACAGGAGGTTTTGCCCACATACAGTTTCTTGCATGTGCAGGTCAATAGGTAGCAAGTTCAATGTCTTTGAGATTTCTGCCACGTCTTGCTGTAACCGAGACGTGGTGAGAAATTACTTTATGTAGGTGTTTGTCTTGATGTAGTAGGGGCCAAAATCTCTCTAGGATGTTCATTATTGTGTTTGCCTGCCAACATCAAAGTTACCGATGCATCTGATGATTTCTGGGGAAGATTTTGAGGATGGATCATCAACCAAGAGTTCCTTATGATCTATCATAAGGGCACGTTTATATGCAGTTTTAAGGCATTTGTTCGGATAGCCTTTGCTTTTAAACTGGACCCTTAGTTCTGTTGCTTTTAGTTTGAATTATTCCCCCATCTTAGTTGCAAGTGTTGTCCCACTGGGATACCTCTCTTAAAGGCTGGTGGGTGGTAGCTGTCCCACTTAAGGAGGCTATCGGTAGAAGAAGGTTTTCTGTATAACATGGTTGGTATCTGTCCTTCGCTTTTGATAGATATAGTGATGTCGAGGAAGCTGATCTTATTGACCCGATTTCTGATGTGAATCTCAGATTATAGTTGTTATGGTTGAGGATATTGACAAATTAGTTGAAACGGAGGACAGTGTCTTTTCCATAATTTCCATAATTTGACAGGTTTAGTGTGTCCTTCTAAACTGGTACCAAACACTAGTTTACTCTAACAACCCCAAGTGGAGGTTAGCATATGAGAGTGCGCAAGCCATCCCCATAGCTGTTTCTCTCACCTGGGGGTAGTACTTCCCTTGAAACAAAAAATAATTGTGTGTAAGTATAAAGTGCATAAGTTGTTGTACAAATTTACTGTACTCAAAGAATGCTGCTGGGCGTGTATCTAGAGAGGCGTTAAAATGGTCTAGGCCCACTGAGTGGGGCATGGAGCTGTATAGTCCCTCAACATTGAGGCTACATAGAATTGCATTTTGAGGCAGGTGTAAATTGTCAAGGACATTGAGCATCTGCGTTGTGTCCAATGTTTCATGACCAATTTTCTCAGGATCTGACTGAAAAAGATGCTGATGTTTTGAGTCACATTGAATCTACCTGAAACAATGGGTCTCCCAGTCAAAGTGTTTTTTATGCACTTTTGGTAGCGCATAGAAGGTTGCAATTTTCTGGTTTTTAACATACACGAAGTTGAATTTGTCTTTTAAGATCAAGGAAGCGGTTAGGGCATCATCTAGGAGAGATTTCAACTCAACTAGATATTTTTTGGTGGGGTCCCCACGAAGTACTTCATAGATGCTTCCATCCTGAATAATCTGCTGATCCATTGCAATGTAGTTTACTCTGTCCACGATGACCACATTCCCCCCTTTGTCAGACGGTTTGATGGTCATGTCCTCCGTCTCTTTTAATTTTTTAATGGATGTCCATTCACTCGGGCCATGTTCTCACAAGGCTGTAGGTCATTCTTATTGATTTTATCAATCTCACTGCAGGTTAGTTCTACAAACGCAGCAAGATGGGGGGGGTAAATTCACTCTTTTTTTAAGTTGTGTGAATGGAGGTTGAGGGATATCAGAAGAATTGTTACTGATTAAGAGTTCAACCAAAGTATCCAATAGAGCTATATCAGATGACTGTTGCCCCATGGTCTTAGCTCTCTTTTCTTCCTTAAGTTGATGTAAGTTTTCTTGCAAATAGGTGTATGTCCTTCGTCCAATTGAATCTATCAAATTCCGGTATTTGGACGAAGGACAAACCTCTCCGCAAGACCTGGGTTTTGGATTTTGTGAGTATATGTGAGGAGAGGTTTATGATCTGGTTCATGTTGTCATCTAATATCTCCTCCATCTGTTTGTTTTGTGATGGTCTTGAGCAGCTCCATATATAGGAGGCTGTATTGTATTCCATGTTTGAAAGGCCTAAAACAGAGACTCCTCTTTTTAATATGCTCTTATTGTTCCTTTCAGAAGGGGTAGATGTTCCCTCCCTAATTGAGTCTAATTCTGATCCACTCGTCTCGTACTCAGATGTAGAGAGTGGTTCAGAAAATCTTCTTCTAGCCTCTTATTTCTCTTGGAAATGTTACCATTTTTAAAGTCATTACTGTCCCTAATGAATTTGGAGTGTTTTTATGTCTTGATCATATTATGTAATTTATCTTAATTATTCTTATGTTTGGTTTCTAGGGTTTCAAAGTTTGTATCATCTTTAAATTTTTCAATTCGATTGATCTGTGTGTCTACCTTGGTATTTATTTTCTCAAGTCGTTTAGATTCAAATTTACAAAGAATCTCCATAAATATTTTGGAGCAATTGCCCGCTGCATCTTTCCACTCTTTAATAAATTCTTCCTCCTCTATATATGTAGCTGGAGTGTTCTGAACTCTAAGTCCCCTAGGGATCAATTCCTTTTTGAGAAAATTTTCCAGTGAAGCAATTTTCCACCCTGTCTTGATCTGTTGTTTAAATAAGTTAGTCAAACGAAAGAAGGCTGAGGAAATATCTTCACCGGAAGAGGTATTGTTTAGGTCTAAGTCTGAAAACACCATATCCATATCCGAACACCATGGGTCTCTCTTGGACTTGTCAAATAGAAATCTAGCCATTATTCACGTAGTAAGATGCTAGAGGTACTAAAACCTAAGTAAAGTATATACAGAGAAAATAATCAGTTTGGATCAGCTGTGACCGACCACAAACTGGCACAGTGGTCCAGACTAACAAAGCAGCAATGAGAGATTCCAGGGATCTCTCTCAGGGCTTGACCCTCGTAGTGCAAAAGTTACAAATAGAAAGAAGATATGCAGGTACACAAAAATTGGCCGTGCATCCCCTGCCTGGAGATAGTGGTAGTAGTCAGTTATGGATCTTATAAGAAGTATAAAACCAAAAATAGAATTATGTATCTAGAGAATTACAAGCTATAAAGTACACCCGGTTTGTGCAGTCATAACCTTATAAGGGTTCTATGTCCATAGAAAGAGACTCAAATTGTGGTCTCAATCTTATTCCTGCTTAAATAAAAAGAGCTTTATTATAATGGCTTAAATGAAATATAGGAACCAGGAATATTAGAGGTCGTATCTGAGTATATGTGGGTAAGTGGGTATTGAATACTACTATAGAACAGCTTCCATTAAACTACCAAGACTGACAGGAGTTCCTAACATAGTAGAGAGGTGCTCCTCCTGAGCACTAGTAGCTTGTATAATTATATATTAATATTATAGTGAAGTATATAAGTTAATAAAAGGTGTCAAAACTGATATAACTAGAATGATGACATTTTCCAGAGTTGTTAATTAATGATTCTCTCCTATGTTAGACATACTCTTAGTTCCAAACTGCATATATAAAAACACAATAAAGAACACAGATTCATGTTTATGTTTAAAATGTAATGACAGGCTGTGCTTTTCAAATCCATTCTTAATGTTACGTATGTGTTCTTGTATCCTGGTGTTCAGTCTTCCTCGTGGTTCTTCCCACATATGTTAAACCACAGTCACAAATAATCAAATAAATCACTCTCTTAGTGTGACAGGTTATTAATTCATTTATTTTATAATTTTCCTGTTCAAGGGTGATTAAAACTTTATGTATGTCTTTTCATCATCCCTGAGTTCTTGCAAGCCCCACAATAACCACATCCATAAAAAACCCTTGTTCTTGAAAGGAGTTTATAGATATTCTATGTGGTTTGATATGGTTACTTGTCAGGCTTGTCTTTAAACTAGGTACCCCCTATAGGTGAATATATGTTGTTCTGGGAATATTTGGTTTAATATATCATCTTCCTTTAGTAATGGCCAATTTTTTTTATTTTTTATTTCTAAGTTGAAAACCCTTACAGCAAAAATTGCATATAAATGTGATCCTATTAGTATCTATAGTATCTTGTTTCTTCTTATATTTTAATAATTCTTTTCTATCTTTAGTATCAACTTCTTCGAATGCTTTATTTAAAAGAGTATCATTATAACCTTTCTGTTTAATGTCATCTTGAATCTTATGTGCCTGCGTTTTAATAAACCTTTTAATCTGAACAACATGAA